TATATTTTTTGTTTTTGTGAAGCGCCTCTCTTTTTTTGCATTTAAACATCAGCCCTGATTTAAAGATTTTTTAAAAACCTTCTACGAGGTTTTCAGACATCAAAGAGTCCAGTTTAAAGCAGGGCATCATGCAGTGATTTGTATGTTTTTAATCATAAACTCATGCCGCTGTCCAAAACACTAGTAGTTACAAACAGAAATGGTTTGGAAAGGGAAAATACTAAAAACATATTGGCTGAAAGTATTTTTGATGGGCTTTGATGAGTTGAGTCTGAAATGAACTTTCATCTACGTTTCTAAGGAGTTTGAAGTAAAACTAAACTTATATAGTCTTTGGATCTTTTTGATAATCTCTGTTTGTGTTTAATTTGCCTTTCTTCCTATGACTTTTTAAAAGATGCAAATAAAAGTAAGGAGACTCAGAAGGGTCACAGAGAGGGAACATTTTTTTTCCATCATACATTAAAGAGTTCTGAAAAGGATTTTCAAAAGTGGGTCTCCCTTCAGATTTCGCATTGTGGAATGAAAGTGCTTCATTTTCGCTCAGCTGCCCTTGCATTCTCTTTTCTTCGATTTCACCTCTCTTTCCGTCTAGCGCTAAAATCCGCACCATTTTTCTTTTTCCCACCATTCCAGCAACTTCATTCTTCTCCCTGTATAATATTGGATTCTCCATGGTGGATTTGCGCTGGGCTATTTCGGGGTTCTGCGCTGGCTCCTGCATGCACTGCTGTAATCCAATTGTGACAGTGTTAATTTTTAAAGCTTTATTATTGAAAATACTGAGACCTAATTTTCTCATCCTGTCACTGTTGACGGCCGCCATAATCGTCTAATTCAAGTTATTCCAGACCATTAAGTCACACACACGGATTGGTCAGGGCTACCGAGGCTGGAGTGTAGAAGTGAGCATCCACCTCGGACGTAGAGTTCTGTGCTGGCACTCTCTTTGTCTGATTTTAACAGGAACTCTGGTATTTCTCCAAATGCATGAAGACGTTTTTATGAGTGAACGCAGAAACCGCTGCTGTTTTGTGCTGTTGCCCCAGCTACTGCGTGTGTGAAGGTTGTGTTGCACAGTAATTGTACTTTATAGAGATTATGTTCTTTTCTGAGACAAATCTGTGAATAGAAATGCAAACGCACAACAAGCACCAGCGCCTGGACTCACAAACACAACTCTTATGGTTTGTTTGGTTGCCAGGAAACTTAGCTTGAGCCTTTTAACGTGAGTTTTAATAAAGAAGTGTGTGTGTGTCCCATAGCCCTGTCTGGTTTACTTGACGAGGGCAGTTACTTAACTCTGGAAAGCTGGGGCTGTTATCGGTGATTGCCTCTCAGTCGTTGACAAAGGCCGGATGAATTTTTAAGCAGCAAGGCTGAGACAGGTCAAACTGAGACAAACAGTTAGCTTGAAAAACATTTGTGTTTTGAATCACCCAAACACAAAGAAGCAGGATACCATTTTGGTGAGTTTGGTTTAATTTCGTCACGCTCAAGCCTGTTTTAAACTCTGTTCTTTGTGCTTTATGAGTGAAAACCTCAGGTCTAAGATGATTCACTAGACCTAAAGTGATTATGCAGGAATCAGAGAGACAGCCCTGGTAAGTTCTTTTATTCTAAATCAAAATCTCAGGCCATCTGAAAAGCAAATGTTTCATGTTTTTAGTTAGTTTTTGAGAGATTTGTGCACTCTGTCGCTCCAGCGTTGTGGAGATGAGCAATATCACCCCTGGTCTATTACTGAGGCACTTAAAACTTATTTGTTTAATGTTGTTTGCCTTTTAATTTTTGGTTTCCATGAACAAAGTTTGGTTTGCTTCCAAAGTGATACCTCACAAGAATATCATTCAGTGCTTGAACTGGAACTTCAGTCTTTATATGACTGAGCTGGTAAATTGGAAAATTCAGATTTTCAAGAAAATAGAACCGACTCGTTTTTAGACATTTTATTTTTAGTAAAAAAAGAAAAACGAAATCTGCAAAAACAGCACAACTTATAAAAAGGTAATATTGTTGAATATGATTTAAAATTTTAGTTGTTTTGAGTAAAAACAAAAGTTCCTCGGCTAGATTCCTTATATTATTTTCCTTCAATTTTTTTGCACCGTATTTTAATTTAATCTATAGTTTATTTTCACAATTTCAGAGTCTGTTTTGTGATTTTTTAGAGACAAAAATGACAAAAAGTGTACCAATCATGTGCTAATCAATTCATGCGCCCCTAAGATTTCGCCAACTCTTCTTATTCCTGCAAACTTTGCACTTCTTGTACAATTTATACACCGAAAAATCTGCCTTTATTTGTCTTCTTTAACCCAGTTTGTGTTTAAGTCTCATCACATACAATTTGTTGTAAACTTCTTTAGAGTGCAGACAGAAGGAGCTTCCCTAATATCCAAAACGCTCCCATAATTAGGCTTTTTGTTTCAAAACTGAAAATCGATGGCTTTTCATAACTTTGCTAAAATATCTAAAACTCATACATGTCGATATACATGACGACCAGACATTCATGTCACTTGTGCTTCATGTATTTTCCCCAGATTTTCTACATTTTAAGACATGAGCTTCAAGGATAAACTATTTCGTTTCAGCCAGGTACCATAACAACATAATAACCAATACTTTCTACGTCACCCTTCATACACTCATGGCTAATTTTTATAACAATGGTGAGAAATAAATATCTTGAACACATCTCACCTTCACTCAAACTCAATTCTGGGTGGATATTGAGTTTCAGATGTTTATTTGTGAACCATGGACGTAGTCCTGAGAGGAGACAGGGGAGACATGTCTCCCCCCCCCCCCCCCCCCCCCCCACTTGTTCCAAAGGCAATTTTTGTCTCCTGCACATTTTACCATCCAAAAACAATACTACGCTATATTAAATAGATATGGGTTGAGCGCTAGGACCAAGCAGAAAACAACCCCTTGTGTTGAAGCCTGTTTCTCGTCCATAAGCTCATCTATTGGCTCTGCTGATACTTGCTAGCATGTGAATGACTGTACCTGCCACCTGTGGACTTGACAGTTTTGCATTCCTGACATTGCATAAAAGCGCCTCTAGGCTGTAGTTTTATACATATTTTTTGTAAAATGTCAGTAAAGACACCCCCCCCCCCCTCTTCATGCCGGTGTTGCCCCCCACACTCTTTAAGTCAAAACCACGTCCGTGTTCTGAACTGAACTGTGTCTCACAGTCACATCCAAACCGTCAATCAGCAGGAAAACAAATACAAAAGTCAGGATGCACTTAGGGATGGGTACCTTTGACATTTGAATCGATCCGGTACTAATTCCCGGTACCTACGAATCGATACCGGTACTTAATGGTACCAATTTTCGATACTTTTGAGTGTTTAATATTTTAATTCTCTTTTATAATTAAATATATATTTTTCTCAATATATAACAATATTTGACAAATATCATGATAAATAACATACAACTGTTTGTATTTTAAAATCGTCCTTGTAGTTTTATAAGCTGATAATTAAACTGAAGCAAACATCTTTACTGTGAACTAAATTTACTGTGTATCTTCATTCCTTTTGCCGTCTTTTTTCATTTGATTTTTCCTACTGGGAAGTTAGAATTTCCGAGGGGAAAGCGAACGCACCATTAGCTGATAACAACGGTGGCAATGGAAGCTAACTTATCAAGCTAACGTTATCTTTAACAGTTTATTTAACTGCTGGAGCAGATTAAAACGATGATGCCTCACACTTAGATCGTCGCTGGTTTCATCTTCACCCAATCACCCGTCGCATTTAGTAAAGTGAAGCCAAACTTTAGAGCGCGTTCATGTTCTAGTCGGAAATTCGGAGTTCCGAGGAGAAAGCGAACGCACCATTAGCGAAACGGAAGCTAACATATCAAGGTAACGTTATCTTAAACATTTTATTTACCTACCGGAGTAGATTAAGATGAGGATGTCTCACTTAGATCGTTGTCTGTCGCTGGTTTCATCATCACCCAGTTACCCATCACATTTAGTGAAGTGGACCCAAGCGTTAGCGTGCGTTCTTTCTACCCATGCTGCTCTGTTTACAACTTGCTCGCAGGGACCGACGACATAACGCTCTTGCGCATGCGCAGCTGTCTTGGCAAGCTCTCGTTATGAAGGATGGGTACCGAAACGAGGCACCGTTTGAAAAGACGTGAATCGGTGCTCGGTCGGTACTATGGAATTCGGTCGGTACCTTAAAAAGTACCGAATTCGGTACCCATCCCTAGATGCACTTGAGGAAAAGTCACTCCTCTCATAGAGAACACATGAGCTAATGGCACGTTGACTGTTCTGCCTGTTTATTACAGTTACAGACCGTTTACAGGGATGAAAACAAATGGTAGCTAAAATAAAGCGTCACTTTGAGATCACACAGCACAATAATAGCTCCAGCAAAGCACTGAATTGTAGCGTCAGTTTGGCCCCTCATCCAATCAATTTGTCACATAAATGTTTGATCACGCTGAACAGAAAACGGAGTGCCTGCTGTTCTCCACTGCCCCCTTTAAGTGTCTCGCTGAAAAGAAAACGCGTCCTCTCACACCTCTCAGACTTCAGATGTGCTTCTAATTGCAGTGCAGGCTAATTGAACAAATCCTACTTTCATCCTGAAGTGTTTTTTTCTCCATCATCTATCTGGTTTCTTTTTTTCTCTTGACAATGGCTGACATATCAGAGTTTTGACATGCCTTGGCACCCTGCTGGGTGTTCCTGAGGCCTATTCACCCGTCACCGAAAACCATTGAGCCGGGTGAAAATGAAGGACCTTTGCTCGCTGTTCGACGCGGGCCTGTTTGGATTTAGTAAAAAGAACCACCAACAAAAAGCGGTCCGCTGCTGGGATCCAGCATGACCATTATGACAAGACGCCCCGCTGTAAAAGAGATTCTGAAGGTTACTAAAGGATTACTCAAGCTGGGGACATCCGGTTTTTGTCGTGTAGCACACAGAAATGTGGTGGGATGTATTATCTGAGCGAGCCTTCTGCACAAAAAGCACACGGGCTTAAACGTCTCCCATGTCTGACCTTGTGTCTGCTGATTGATTGGCAGGTCTGAGCTGTAACCATGGAAACGAGGATGGAGGTAGCACCGCTGGAAAGCGGGATGAACACTGAGGATTATCAAAAATTAAGGAGCCTTTTCATTGTGAGTAGTATTATTAGTCAGTGGATTCACCAGCTAATTTGATTTCAAAGAGAAAACTGAATTTAAACGTGTTGCCCTGGACATCTGAGGCCCTGTGAGAAATTCTGCAGGGACGAGATAACAATCTGCAGCAAGCTGTGGAGAATTTCACAACCCAGTTCATTGTCCATGCAGGACTCCTCTGGTGCGTCTCGCTGCTTGTCCAGAACCAAATTCATCGATCTGGCTTGCGCAGCAGTCGGCCGTGGGTCCAGGGTGGAATTCGGTCTGATGTTCGACGGAACGGTTGTCGCTCAGAATCCTCCCGGCCACCTCCCGTGCAGCAACCACAAGAAGGAGGAAGGGAGTGTGAACTGGAGAGAGCTGTGCTCCTTTCTCCTCCTGGAGCTTTCTGATAAAACGAAGAAGCACAGATTCATCTCTGCGCCTCGCTGGAAACCGCCGCGCACCTTAACGTGTCCTCATCGGGACGCCGTTCAAAGGGTGAATGCTCCTTTCAGAGACCCATTAGGAGAAGAGTTTGTTACTGTGCTCTGAACATACTGACCACATTAAATATTTAATCCAATGTGACATGTCATCCCAAAACACCAAGGGGAGATTTTAAAACTCTGCTGACTTGGAGGGAAAGCCGCATTATTAAACATAGCGCTGGGAAATGTTGAAAAGTATTAGGTTCTGGCTCATCAAAATGGTCCACCTCTTTGGAGATAAATGGCTGAGGACTGCTGTAACATCTATCAATTAATATGCAAATGCAGGAGCCGAAATAAAGCTCCTACCGCTGTGGATGGAGCGAAGGCTCGCCATTTTAATCTTTCTATCCTGAGAATGTCAGAATGTTGTGTCAGTTGTTTTCCACGGCTGGAGGCTTTTGACCTCTTAAGTCTGCAGACTGTCTTAACACTATCACTTAAGAAAAATACATTAGACTCCATGATTTTATTACAAATATTCTCCGGAAATAATTTAGATTGGCAGCTTATTTAGATTAGTACTCATTAGTGTGTCTTACCTCGTTGTTTCAGTTCTGTAGGTGAAAATGTCTGGTTCTGGGTTCATGATACTCTCCCAGCCCGACGCAACAGGAACAAGGATGAGCCGGGTCTTTACCTCAGGACTTGGTAACGACTGGAAGAGGATGATATTGTGAAAATGTCTTCATCTACTTTTAAAATTTGTTTCCCCCCCAACGACTGAGATTTTTTCTTTATAACTTTAGCACAGTTTTTACTCTATCTTGCTATTTTATGTGGTTTTGGTACAAAAGAGGATCATTGATTCCTAAAATGACATTGAAGTCAGTGACACGTTCACAAGCGCAGTAAGGAAACTTAGCAATGAATGCTATTTAAATTGTCTCAATTTGCATTTTGTTACAAGCAAACCTGCTGGAAAGACACAATTCTCTCCGATATTTTTAGCTGGATCGATAAAATGGCCCCAATGATAATGTTAATAGGCAAAACTAACAGTAGTAAAGCTTTTAGGTCAATAAATAACCCCTCTGTGATATTCCCTCTTCCCGTTCTACTTTGTTGGTGTTGTTGCACGTTTTCCTAACACTTTTAGCTACACTGCAAACACTGATTTTCAAGAAAGTAAAAAACTAAAGCAAACAAACTTGTTTTTAGATATTTTATCTTTTTTGGTGTATAAATAAAAAAGTTTAAAATCTTATTTTTTACCATTTATATAAAAACGTTCTTATCTGCAAAAGTAGCGTTACTCTGCCAATGTGGTGAGCAAAAGTGCATTAGCTGAAACTCTTAAAACTAGCCCCAAAAAAGGTTAGATTCATTTGCTATTTTAAAGGTTCTATAAAGCAAATTTAGCTCACAACATTGTCAGATTTTTTTTACTCAAAACCAGAAACTTTTGATCACATTTAGGAATACTTATCTTTTTCAAGTAACGCTATTTTTCTTGATAACTGTTTTTATTTTGGACAAAAAAAGGATGAAATGTCCAGTAATGAGGCTTTTTAAAAACTTTCTTAGAAGTGTTTTTACAGTGTATCTGGTTAGCATCAACGTCTTGCATCAAAAGGCCCTCGGTTTGCACGGTGGCGCAGCTGTTACCACTCTTGCCTCGCAGCAAGAAGGTTGCAGGTTAAAAACTCAGCTGCAGCCTTTCTGCGTGGAGTTGCATGCTTTCCCTATGCATGAGTGGGTTTCCTCTCTGGAACTCTGGTTTCCCCCACAGATCACAACATGGTCTATACGTTAACAATTGTACATTGCTTTGGAAATAAATAAACAAATGCTGCCAAATAAATAAACATAAACATGGGTTTGAATCCTAACTTGGGCCTATCTCTATTGAGTGCCCCTATGCACGCATGCTATGTAAGCTGGTGACAATGAATATGTCCTCAGTGTCCAGTTTTTACTTCAACTCTGACTCAGTGACAGCTGGGCGTAAGCACCAGCTCCACTGTGATACTGAATAATGGATGAGTGTTTATTTCCCTTGTACTGGATTAAAAATCACCTTTTAAAGCAACAAATCTTTAATTAAATATTCACCAAACTGCAGAGCTGTTGGCCAGATCCACTTTAAAACCCTACATCTGTCTGGTCAACCAATGGGTAGAGCATATCTTAGTCCCTACATCTTATTGCAGTACTAAATGAACATAACAAGAAACAAAAAACTAAACCCCAAAAAAAAATTCAAAATAATATGGAGATGTTTGATGAAAAGGAAAAACATAATAACACTGCATTATCACTGCCTTAATATTTTTAGAATTATATTTTTATTAATTTACATCAAACTAAAGCCCTTGTTGCGCCAAATCAAAAATGCAAAAGGAGGACATTTTCATTGCATTTTTCTTGGTGAGGAAGTTAAAGGGTTAAGTAGCTCAAGACACTTCTCTTTCTTAAAGCAGATCAAATCACTTTGAAGAGACATCTGGGATGCTTTTGGGATTACAATAAGCAAATGACAAACTCAAAAATTATCTTGATTTGATAAATGGAGAAAAAAAGTGTATCCCACACTCTACCTGCTCTGTTTTCATGGGAAATTAGAATAAATGCATGACAAGACAAGCTAATAGACCTTTCAGACGAGTGAGGAAAAAGACAAAAAGTGCAGCTTAAGAACTCTGCTCTGAGCAGTGGTAACACACCTTACCTCATTAGACTCACTGTCTCTTATCCATGAGATGAAGTTCATTGTAGCCTTTTATTTAGCAGATTTGCTCTCGCAGTTCATCCTATAAAATTCAGCAATTCGTTAATTCTGCATTGTTTTATTGGCTACGATGTAGAATGTGGACCACTCCGTTTTATTTTTCTGCACTGGGTAAAAGGAAGATTTAGAGGGGAGATCATGTTTAATGGGTTTATTCTAGACCAGTTTTATCACTGTTGAGTAGCCGGCAAGAGGAGGAGTACACAATATACTAAATATTTAAAATTCTATTCTAAAAAGCCTCATTGTAACTAATTAACTTCACACTCTAGTGTAAAAGATGCATTGGTTTATTAGAGCTGTTGTGCCGGCTGCTGCGTAGTCGGTGTGAATTAGGAATAATGTCATTTGGTCTGGTTCATTTGTTTTTCTGTCCTGCTTAAGTGCCGTTTTGCTCTGATCTCTGCAGGTGTTGTACATTCAGAATTCTGCTCAGTATCTGAGTGTGAGTAAAGGAGGATTGGTGGTGCTGCGAGACAGAGGGGACATGTCCATTGTCCGCACGCATCGCCTGCAGAACAAAACTGTCTCACCCAAAGTCCTCTGGGTCACAGATGTGGTGTATCTACAAAACACGCAAAAGGTTTTCTGATTTGTCATTTCTGTACAACTGCATATGATGGCCCACCTTTAATGAGTTATCAGGACAAGTATCAGATCTAATTATCAAGGAGTTTATACAACTTGCTAGTTATTAAACATATTTCTGAAAGAAATGCTGAATACGTTTACTAAGTTTTTTCTTAATTAAGCTTTCTTCAGTTTGGAACATAATTAACATTTTATCCAATTCCAAAACAAAGTGCTGTTTTTTACTCTTAGTTTCTTGTGAACTTCTTTATTTCAGATAGCCGTGTCTTTTACTTGTAGAGAGGTGTGTTTTTACGACATACTGCCGAAACAGGACTTCAACTGCAAATATAAACTTAAGGTAACATCATGGCTGCCTTTCAATACTTGTAAAAAGATACTTGGTCATACTCAAATGCATTTCTGTGTAGAAAGGTATAACTAAATTCCCATTGTAGTTACCTTCCTGAATGGGTTTACATATGAAATGACTGATAGAACAAATACTAGCCTGAATACAACCAAGGCCAAAGCGGATTACTGCTGTTTTAAATCAGCATTCAAAGCTGTTCACTCCATCCATCCATCCATCCATCCATCCATCCATCCATCCATCCATCCATCCATCCATCCATGATAAATGATAAATGACCCGCACTTGTATAGCACCTCTCAGAGTAAGGACTCCAAAGCGCTTTACACTACAGTGTATCATTCATCCATTCACACACAATCACACACTGGTGGTGATGAACTACAATGTAGCCACAGCTGCCCTGGGGCACACTGACAGAGGCGAGGCTGCCGAGCACAGGCGCCACCGATCCCTCCGACCACCACCAGCAGGCAAGGTGGGTTAAGTGTCTTGCCCAAGGATACAACAGCAGAATTCTCTGTCCGGAGCCAGGATCGAACCTGCAACCTTCCGATTACTGGACAACCCGCTCAACCTGTTGAGCTACTGCTGACCCCATCCATCCATCCATTCATTCTCTTTCTCTTATCCGTAGCTGGGTCGCAAGGGGCAACGGCCTAAGTCGAAAAGTCCTGACTTTCCTATACCCAGCCACTTGGGCCAGCTCTTCCTGGGGAACCCCAAGGCATTTCCTGGCCAGGCGAGCGACATAGTTCCTCCATCGTGTCCTGAATCTCCCTTTAGGTTTCCTCCTGGTTGGACGTGCCCAGAAAACCTCACCAATGAGGCGTCCCGGAGGCATCCTGACTAAATGCCAAAGCTACCTCAACTGGCTCCTCTTGATGTGGAGGAGCAGCAGATCTTCTCCAAGCCCCTCCTGGATAACCAAGCTTCTCACCCTATCTCTAAGGGAGAGCCCAAACACCCTGCGGAGAAAACCTGCAATCTCGTTCTTTCCGTCACTACCCAAAGCTCATGACCATAGGTGAGGGTAGGAACGTAGATCGACCGGTAAATTGAGGCGTCACATATATTTTTTACTAGTTAAGCAAAAGGAAATGTGCAGCTTTCTTTATTTTTTAAACTTGCCAGAGACTTTACATTGATACCATGTTTGATTTCCTGCGTGGTCCGGTCTGAACTGCTTGGAAGCATAATGAGCAAAAAATAGACCTAAAGTGCAAATTTAGTTGAGTTCCACAACACTCAAATTTTGGAACAGTTCCAACACTGCTGTAAACAAACCTGTTGACTGTGATGGTGGCTAGCTGCGTAGTGTGCCACGCAAACATCACGGGATGGATATGCATCCGGTGGAAAGCCGGGATCACATGTAGAATGCTGTGGTTATCTTATATATAAAGTCACCCACTAAATGGAGGATATCTGGTGCATCCAAGGATCAAATCCACCAGAAAATTCAGCTGCAATAACAATGTAATGCAACACTGATATCCACTGAGGTTTTCAACGTTGAAAGTGTTTTGAGTAGGTAGAAATCCATCCCTGCTGTCAGATGTAAACATCTGAAACTTTGCCCTCACTTCTTTAGGGTCTGAGGTTTGTCCCATGGTGTCTGGACTACTGGGTGGATCCAACTAATCCTGACCAGGCCATTCTCACCATAGGAGACATTGGAGGACAGGTATAGACGTACAGAGAGAAAAGGCGATAAGGAGCTCTGTCACAACCACCATTTTCCTGCCTTATCTGAGCGTGTTCACAGATCCATGACTAAACTAAGGATTTCTGTGTTTTCCCAGGTCAGTGCTTTAAATTTTACTTCTGCTCAGATCTCCTTGTTTGAGAGACACTATGTGAGGACAGCGTCTGGCTCAGAAGATATCGTCCTGTGGGATGAACTGGTCAAAGGAAAACACTACTGCTGTTATGTCACAACGCACCAGGCACACACGCCTGACTGGGTCAGAAAAGGTAGACATACGAGTACATCGATGTAAACAGCTACAAACATCTTGTTTTAGTTTGTCTTTGATAATAAACACAGTTCAGATTTTTGAAGTGAGCTTTTTAAAATGGTTATGAACAATTATCATATAACCAGTTGCAGCTCTGAAGAGCTAACGGGCTAATCGTAGAAACGGTGGACTACTGTCATCCTAAAACAACTCTAACCCCATTATCATCATAGCACATAATAAAAGATATAACTTTATACACGTTGCACAGCTGTACATTTCATTTTACATAGCTTCATTGCAAAAAAAAAAAACCTTCTGTAGCTGAAATGAGCTGTGGAGCTACTTAGCTGTCTAACCACTGTTATTTGTCTGATTTTCATAATATTTCTGCTAGAAAAAAACACAACAAAAATTTGTGCCTTTATTTAGTTTATCTATGAACAGCGCCAAACAGAAATTAGTTAAAGATACACACCTAACCGTAACAGGTAAGCTATGAAGTATTAATCTATTTTTAACAGAAATCCAATTTCAAATGATTAAAATTATTTCTTTGACATTTTATCATTTAAATCTTTGTCAATTTGCATTTTATTTGTATTTGTACATTTGTAGTAGATGGGATTCCTTATTGTAATGTCCACAAATGGTCAGTTTCCACCTACAGATGACCTACAGGTCATCGGTCATCTACAGACGTGATTCAATCCTATGAGGTGGATTTTATATTCTAGCTGCCAACAAGCCACACGATCCTGAACTGCTTGTTGACATCCTGGAAACATAACACTGACATCCTGTTCTTTCCAAGGTCGCTCACAGAGCAGCCTTTTATCTAAACTCCTCGCTTCAAAGATGAAAGAAGATAGATTTTTAAAATTAGATATGAACTTCTGAAATTTACAAGCTAGATAATCATTAAATAAATGTTTGTTTATTGCTGTGTATAATAATTATAAAATAATGAAATGTTTCATTAATCAGTGCTCAATGATTGTTTTAGCATGTTTACCTGATAAGGTCATAACATTTGCACTCACACAAGTACAAGTAAGGTAAAGTTAAGTCCATGACACATAATTAACCTTTTAGCCAGATCAGAGCCTCCGGATCAAAGAAGGCGTGTTTCTGAGATTCTTGGTAACATCCAAACTTGTCAACTTTTGGTAGGCTACACAATCAGAACATCATAACATTAAAACCAGATCACGCTGGTGATTCTTGAGTTCTAGAGAAGCTTCAGGCCAGGCCACCTGAAGCAAAAACCTCTTTATCCCACCAAAGCTTTTGACACTTCGTCAAAAACCTTTTTCGCACCTGCGAAGCTGATACAACAAAAATAGTTCCTGCAGAATAAGCTGATTTGTTCAACTCCTTAAGAGTTATTCCTGAGATGCAAACTAGTTCCAACTGTTGTTACCTGGAGATGACTCTGGACTGACCTGGTCGCACTGTAAGTTAGTCTACAGATTTCGGTACCGGGGTCTCCAACCCCCCCCCCCCCCCCCCCCCCCCCCCCATCTCGGATCCAAAAGGGCGTCTGCACTTGGGTACGTAGAACACAGTGAGATTGTGTCTGGATGTGGTTTTTGATAATAATCAACCTCATATCTTTGTTTTCCTTTTGTTTATTTCATTCAAAATAAAAACAAATAAAACATATAAACAATAAGAAATACATAACAAAAAATCAAATTTGAACAAAAAGGAGCAGAATGAAGAAAAACATCTTATAATTTCTGCCCCCTTTTCCAGTAGAAATAATCAGTTTATTTATAATTACCATTCGTCAGACACACATACAGATTCATTTAAATTCCAGTGTGATCATGATCATTGATTTAATTTACATATTCATAATTATTTACTACACCCAATTTGGTAAATTTTTTGAATATATTAAATGACAGAGTTTTTTTTTTATTTCTCTTTTAAGGTTATTCCATAATTTAACACCATTTACAGATATATTCCATTCCTTAAGTTTAGTTCTAAATCTGGGGTTTTGTAAACACATCAGTTTCTTTCAGCATGTAATTACTACTTCTCTTTTCAAATATCCCCTGAATATTTGTTGGCAGAGTACCTAAATTGGCTTTATACATGGTTTGTATGATTTTCCAGTCTTTTAGATCATGAAATTTCAGTAATTTGTATTTAATAAACAACGGGTTCGATGGATCTCTATAGCCACCATAACTGATGATTCTCAAAGCTCTTTTCTGTAAAATAAATAAGGGTTGTGTATAGTTTTTGTATGTTGCTCCCCAGATTTCTACACAATAAGTCAAGTAGGGAACAATCAGTGAATTGTTCAATGCCAACAAACCAGAATTAGTCAGTAAAAACTTGACTGTATGTAATACTCCTAAGGATTTGGCAATTTTACCTTTTATGTAACTAATATAGGATTTCCATGACAAGTCTTCATCAATAAGAATTCTAAGAAATTTAGTTTCTTTTACTCTTTGACTTGCAATCCCATCTATTTCCAATGACACAAACAAACACATAACAAACCAAATTCTTTTACATCCAGAACTTCTGGAAGTTCTGACCAACATCGTATTCACACATAGGTTCTAGACATCACCTTTAGTTCCATCCACTCACAGTAAACAATAGTTTAACCAATTTGTCAAGTTTTAATCGTTTGTAAAATAAATTCTTACTTTTTTAAACCTGACTGTTTCCTGAATCAAAACTGAGTGTGTACAATCCCCTAATGAATAAAGAATCCTATAATCTTCTGATTAAACACAATAAAGACCAGGCAAGGTGATATTCTATATTTATATAGTAAGTAGAGTTAATATATATAATGAGCTAAAGTACCCAGTTTATGCAACCCTACATTATGAACACAACAGTTTATCTGTGAAGTTATTAGAATTTGTTGTTGGCTAACAGGGGTTTTTCATTCTTGTTGTAATTGACATCAGAGTTGGACAAGATTAATTTTTAAATCCCGTTAAAACTTGTAAAAAACTTCACTGGAGGATGTGGAATTATTGGCTGCCCAGTTAGTATGTGAACATGTCTCATTACGGGCATTTTAATGGTTTGTTTTAAAACTAGTTAAGATTGAATTGAACAAATATTCTTTTGTCATGCCATAAACCAATCATAGTGATTTAAACATAAAATCATACACAGGAACATTATGAAATAACATATCAATTTCAAAATTGATTTTTCAAGTCTCCTAGTTAGACGCTTCAGGTCTGTGCAGAGAACAATAAGCTGCAATCTTTCATTATGTCCAAATCCAAAAGTCAGCTAATAATGCGTACCTGTGATCCACAAAAAGCTCTCTAAAATATCTAGTCATTTGTGTTTTCACTCTGCATCTCATCATCTCCACCACAACAGCTACAGCCCACCCATATACAGTAGCTGCTGAAGGGTTGGTTAATAATAATGGCTGGCTGAATTTGTAAAAGTTCAGTCATAAAGACGCCTATTATATCATATTTTTATAGAAAACTACAACAAGCCCTGTAATCCATATGGCCATCTGTATTTACACTGACATGCATTATGCTTCCTGCAGTACCTCTCCTAACCAGAGGCCATGCTAAAAACAGCTGCAGGAATAGCAACAGAAGAAGAGTTTACGGGAACAGCCGCTTTTCAATAGACACACCGTAGCAGCAATTTAGGATAAGAATGCCGTGGTAGCATGGTGATGCAGGAATGTTGCATCATTTGAGCCTGAGTGAAGATCACACCTTCGACCAACAAAGGGTGATATCATGATCACTTGTCGGGTGTCTGCCGAGAGTCGACCCGCAACAATATTTAAAATGCAAATAAACACAGAGTCAGTTTTACTTTTAAAAACAGTATCCGTTGAGACCAAGCCCCCACAATGCGGCTCAGAAATTGGTCTCAACCCGGAAGTACCAAAAATTGCAGTTCCACCCTCATCCGCTGGGGGCTGGTGCCAGAAGCGAGCAAATCCTCATTGACTCCAATGTTAAAAATACCAATTTCACAGCAGAAATAAACACGTTTACAGTCTGGTACCAAAACATGTTTTTTGGTTAAATTATCTAGTTTACACTCATGACAACTCTGAGCGCTGCCCGGGCTGATGGCTGGGTCTCCCGGCAGCTCGGCGCATCTCTGTCTGATCATGGCTCCTGTCTGCTGCGCGGGCTGATGGCTTGTGAAGCTCTGGGATGGAAACCTTTCCACCCGGTTCTCCCCAGCGGCAGCTCTGCGCATCTCAGATCGCAGCGGCGCTTATCTGCTGTGCGGCTGCCGGCTTGTGGAGCTTTCGGGAGACCTCTGTGTTCCACCCGGTTTTACCCAGCGGTCAGCCCGGCGTATCTCTGACTCAGAAGCTCTGGTGTTGTGCACAGTTAACTCCGGTTGTAGCTAGGTTGTTACCTCCATTAGCTTAGCTCCTACCTCCGCATTAGCTTTGGGTTAGCTTCAGGTTAGCTCGTAGCTAATTCGACCGGGTGTCGTCAGTCGATCCCAGCCTTACAGCCCCACCCTCAGCTCCACCTCTCTTCCCTTTTATGGAATTGTCTGGGCTTGTCAGAACCTGTGACATGGTCAAAATGGCGGTGGTGGCCACCTCCCATTTTAGTACAAAAACTTATTATTGGAGTCTATGGAAACCCATTGTCCATATATGTATGCCGATGGTTGAGACGGCAAACTTGAGTGATGCTGGGATCCGGGAGGCATTATAGCTGAAGAACAGATCATTTATGGGGACTGTGCAATGGCAACTCCAAGAGGTGGCCAGGGGTGGCCATGGCCACTTCTAGAAAATTGCTGGCCCTCCAGGGAAAAGCCAGTGTTAACAAATCATATTAATAGTCAGTCAAATCATATATTGATCTTATTTATTTAATACATAATTGTAAAACTAAATAAAAATATTACAATTAATGAGTAAAGAAATATTCAGAATAAAAAAACATGTTTCTGCTGCTCACCATTTTAAAAACATTTTTATCTCCATAGCTTTTTTAACACAGCAACAGGTGAATTAAC